TAAAGTTCCATAGACATATTGAAAAAAAAAAATATGAGTAACCTCAATTTTTTTCGAAAAAACTGAGTAAGTTGGTCTCGAACCCCCGGCAGCCAAATGTTTGCGTGTGCCACAAACACGCTAATCCACTCGGCTACAATGGACTCGGTTAAAGTTGATATGACTGGCTTACATAAGTATAAGTATCACGTTATCGTTTTTTTTCTGTCTTTCCCATCGTACATTTACATGAAAACAAGTAAAATTGTTACTATATAAATCTGATTAATTATTCAAATAAATAAAAGACTACTTAAGTTTGATACATCTATTATTTAATATAAACTGTAAAGGAAATCCATAAACATATGCAACATATAACTGACTGTAATTAGCACCTCTCGTAGCATGGTAGTAATGCTTTTGCCTCTGAACCCCAAGGTCATGGGGTCGAACCTCTGTGGCAAAGTTTTTTTTCTTCTTTTTTTTATCTTTTATGTTTATTTCGATAACACTCTAGACAGCACATAATAATTTTAAATGCTTAACAAACACTTCCTATCAACTTAATGAATAAGATGATAACCCATTTGTGTACAACTGGATAAAACAAAATTAATGCATTAATTATATCATGATATACTATTTAATTTCTGCTCGTAAGTTTAAATTTTTTTTTTATATCTGAACACATTATAGTAAAAAAAATATGTTGTGATGGAAATAAGAAAAAAAATTTTATCATAGAGATTTGACCCCCCACGACCTTTGGGTTCAGAGGCAAAAGCTTCACCTCCGTGCTACAAGAGTTGCTGATTACAGTCAGTTATATGTTGCATATGTTTATGGATTTCCTTTACAGTTTATATTTAATAATAGATGTATCTTATCTAACATTCGTTCTTTGCTACTGCATTATTATTATAATTATCATCATAATTATTTTTAAGTAATTATTATTTCTTTATTAGTTAATACTATAATATACTAGACAGAGCTTAATAATTTCAAAAGCCCAAACGAATTCTTTCCTAATTCCTTCCGAACTCGAACGGCATTTATATACTACTGGGTTTAACAAGATTTAAAGTATATCTTTACTTGAGTATAAATTTGTTTTATTATTATTTGAACACATCATTACAAGAAAAACATATGGTGATGGAAATTAGAAAAAAAAAGAAAATTCATCATGGAGTCTCGATTTCACGATCCTTGGGACAGGAGACAAAAGCTTTACCACCATGCCATAAGAGCTGCTGGCAGTTAAGAGTTACATGTCGCACATGTTTATGGATGTCCTTCAAGGTTTGTATTAAATAATAGATCTATGTTAGCTAGCATCATGTTATTTTTTAAAAATAGTAATATTATTTATACACATAAGGACATACATTTTGTTTTCTATTTATTTCCCATATACCATTTGTATACTACCGGATCAGACGAAATCTTAATGATAAATATGTATGTAATAATTATTTATTTTTAATTCGGCTTCTAATGATAGAAATATTTATCCTTACAAAACACATTTTTTTAAATGATTTTATTAGAAAAAATTGTACCACAATGCCATGACAGCTTATTCTAATAGTTAATAATACATCCCATATGTTGATTGAGATATTTACCAGTTCCTGTTAACTAAATTCTTCCACCTCTTTTATTAAGAGTACGATTTACATTTTTTATATATTTACGACAATTCTCAAATATTTAATGGTACTCTAATTTTACAATTATGCACGTACTTACTCAATATTCCATTGAAATATTTATTAGGACTGACTTATCAAACTTAAATAGTCTTTTATTCATTTGAATAATTAATCAGATTTATACAGTAACAATTTTATTTGTTTTCATGTAAATGTACGATGGGAAAGACAGAAAAAAAAACGATAACGTGATCTTATACTTATGTAAGCCAGTCATATCAACTTCAACCGAGTTCATTGCACACGCAAACATTTGGCTGCCGGGGGTTCGAGACCAACTTACTCAGTTTTTTCGAAAAAAATTGAGGTTACTCATATTTTTTTTTTTCAATTATGTCTATAATTTGTATTCGTAAATAATACTTTTAGAATACTTTTGAAGTTACAATCTGAACAATGTACTCTTAACGAACTATTTTGGAGCTTGAAAAAGGTGACATAGCCCTCATTCGTAAAGGATGATTTAAGTATACTTTGGGGACAGTTTTCGAACATCTAAACGAATACGTTCAAGTTGCTGAAGTGTTCGAATTCAATTCGTAACGTCCTATGTGTGCCGTCTGGGAGTTCTATGGATAAATTTTTCATTTTTTATCAGTTCTCATTCTTTAAAAATGTTTTTATTCATGAGGAATTTTACTTTTTTCATGAAGCTACATTCACTGGCATGTTATACTACCCGACTTAAAATAAAGCAGTACTACAGGATGTTTTTCCTGAGCCTGCGTATATATGTACTGTGTTTATTACATATACGATCAAGGATGAGTGTGAAAGCGTACGTGATAAGTGCAGCAAGTGCGATATTAAAAATTTTATCAGCGTAGAGTAAGTTGTTTTGAAATAACCAGAAGATTAGCTGACTGTGAGCTCTAATGAAAAATGTGGCGAGTCCTGGCAGCACGTCTCTTATCTATTATTCTGTCTAATTGTTTGTTTCTTAAATTTTAAAATATTTGTTGAAACCACACCCAATTACTAAGCACTTACACTTGTTTTTTTTTTTTTAATGAAGCTTTTTTTGCGCCATGAGGTCAGAAATGAGCTGAAAAAAAGTGACTGATTCAAAACGACTAACATACCTTCCCCACTCCACTCAGTCACAGCAGCAGCAGAACGTGAGCATAAATATGCATACCTAGCTGCTACTACTATAGTAATTGGAGTCGGTCGTATAAGCTTGAAAAGGATTGAGTTTTGCCATCTCAAAGACCTATCACCGACTTCGTATACTTACTAGCTACGACGTCGTATATTATACTTATGCGGCTGGATATTCTATGTACATAGTTTACACCTGTGTCATCCACTAGTTCTGATTAAGGGGGTTAGAGCGGTACAGCCAGTCTCAAAAGTTAATTCAAATTAAAAATTAGTGTATTTTATGACTATTCTTGATAAATCATGCGAGCTATTTCATATCGTACAGCAGAAGATTACTAACAAGTGAGAAAATAAAAAATTAATACTTCAAAATCGAATTTATGCTCCATGTTTTATTTTTCATCTGCTGTGTATAGATATACCAATAGCATTTTCGTAAAATTTTTAATTAAAGTACTTCTTAAACCGTGACGGCTTGCTTCCTCAAATTTGGATATGTTATTTTAATTGTTACTTACAATTACATACTAGTTTTTAGAAAGAATTGTAAAAATATTTTCCAAGTTGTTGGTAAAAATGTACATGTCGTGACGACGTTCTAAGAAGATTCTGTGTATAAGATACTAAGTTTGCTATATTTTTTCCTCAAAAACTGTGACGCTACGGTTCCTGAAATTTCAATATGTTGGTAACGTAATGAAAACAAACACATTATAATTTTTCGAAGACTGTCGTAAAAAATTTGTTTTTCGCTCTAACCCCCTTAAGTTTTTGTAATACAGTTTTCAGATTGATATCTCCTTACACGGCGTAGTAATCAACTGGGACATAAAATACACCGTTTTTGGTACAATGACCCCTATATATAAATGTGTGTATGTATGAGTGTGGGTGCTCGTATGCTTTGGCATATGTGTATCTACACACATTACTAGCAAAATTAGTGTTAAATAATGTTTCGTTGCAATATACATAAGGCAACTTCGCTTCTATCAGAGGTCCCGGGACTCCTTGCGCTTAATTTTTTTTGTAATGTTTGTATCATGTTGCAGAGTTTTGTAGATTGAAATAACGATTTTATTTTAGCCTATATGCACGGAGCCGATCGTTGGGACATCGCAGTTGATGGGTGATGATTACTTCCTTCAACTTTGCATAAAGTACCTACCGGTGAAGTTGGAGCGAATAAATCGTAAGTTGATGATGATAACTGTGATGATGATGCTGGATTATTATTTGAAAAGTTAAGGTACAATATGAAGATCCATGATTATAACTTTTTTAGAAAAATCAGCCCTTACAGTCGGTACTGTCCAATCAGGAATGACAATCAAAAAAGCAGCGGATAGGTTGGACAACATTAAGATCATCACGAATAAGCTTGTCATTAACCTTGGAACTGTAGACATCTACAACGTAAACCATTATTGTTATTATTTCATTTGCTTTGAAAGTTATTTTTAGTCTTACTATTTAGATTTCCAGGTCTTTTTTTACCACTATCTAGAAAATAATATAACATTTAGCTTGCAAATGGTTTTAAGAAACAATTTTTAACTATCCGTTCATGTCTAAATTGTGTGATACTCCCACAGAGAAGAACGTGCAACCAAATGATTAAGGAGTATAAAAATTTGCTGGAAAAACTAAGAAGGAATTATGGCCTGTCACCTGCTAAAATTATCCTTTGCACAATCCCTCCACTCGGTAACATCAGCTTTTATGGGCAAATCGAACAGTACATGGCTCTCATGTCCTTCAATAATTGGCTGCGAGACTTTTCCACGCAGGGAAATTATCGGCTGTTGGACTTGTTTGAGAGTTTCACCACCGAAAAAATGACGCTCAACTACGATCTTTTCCAACAGTGAGGGATGAATTGGATGCTTTTATATATATATATGTGGTGTGTGTGTGTGTGAGTGTGTGTGTGTGTGTGCATGCGTGTGCGTGTGTGTGTGTACAGTTCTACTTGTCAATCAATTTTTGGGTAAAAGTGTAGTTTACGACTCCTTACGAGAAGTTAGCTTCAGAACTTGCAGTGCTACCAATCTAATACAGCGCGGGAAATTCAAAATCACTAATGCGGTTAATTTTAATGTTAATAACAAATCATAAAAATTTTTTTCTTGTTCGACCATGGTTCACCCACAGTAATAGTTTGGTAATGGCTGTGTTAAAAATAAACAAATCCTATTAAGTACCGATAGAAGAATTACCGACCGCATATTTACATTCAAATTTATCGCCGTAATAATTTAGAATTTCCTGCGTTGTCATGTTGGCAGCATTGCAAGTTCGGCAGTAAACTTCTCGTAAGGAGTCGTAAAGTACACATCTGCCAATTTTTGTAATAATTTACCTTATTATTCACAAGAATGGAATACTTACAATAATTGTAAAAAAATAATCCAGCCTTTATGTAAAAATGTTTGTTGTAGGGACGCCCGAATGGTGTCAGGAACTCCCCATCCACATCTTTTATGGAACTTTTTTGGGAGACAAAAAGCTATGAAACTCCTGTTGAATGTGTAACGATGCATATTCAAATTCAATACTATTAAGTGCAACTACCTTATGTGCAAATATGCATAGCATTATGTTATTATTGTTATTCCTATTTTGTTATTATTATTATTTTTACTATTATTATTATTGTCATTAGTATTGTTACGTCAATATTACTAGCATACGGTATTAGATAGAATTAAACCTACATTTGAAAAAACACAAAGTGTTTCGTATGTCATGTGTACGCAAAATTTTTGGAAAATCCCTTGAGTTTGTGTTAATATTGCAGTGTTTTATAAAGTAACTTTCAAATTATCTTGCAGTTGCATACTTTTTATAAATGTCGTCCACAAGTTTTTTATTAACTTCTTCGGATGCTCTGTTTTTGGAAATTTTTCAATTTTTTTGTTGCCATGCAATCAAAGGAATTTAGTTATTCCCTCCGAACGTTACTTGGTAAATATTATTAGTACTTGATACTATAAGCTTTGGAAATTTTTTGTAATAACTTTGTATCTACCGGGCCTCTAATATTTTTGAGGAACATTAATGATATTTAAATATGCATATATCTAAAAACTTTGATATTTGTATTTATGTAAATAACGTACGGTATTATTTGTGTAGTGTCATATAATAAGTGTAGTAATATTTAAACAATTTAAAAAAGTATTTTAACAAAAAACATAAGTTGTATATTTGAAAAAAATAATTACGGGCATTTTTATTTCGTTGTAACTAAATGATAAAAGAATACAATTTATCGCTTGTGTACATACACATAATATATTCGTAAATATGTAAAAATTTATTGGAGCTCTGTTGCAAATGCAGGGCTAAATAACATTTTAAATTTTTAGACTGATTCTAACAATTTTCATCACGATGCTGAATATCTAGATTATTCTTAAAAAATACATTTGAAAGACAATTTTTTTATACAAATTTTGGGTTGGGTTAGTAAGTAATATACTAACAAATTTGTCTCTTATTGGCCATAATCACTAATCTTTAACAATATCAAAAGTAGCGTATGGCAGTCATAGTATATCCCATATTGCGTTGTGAAGCCATTGTTATGTGTTATTAACACCAGTTATACAGCACTAATTTTTATAAGTGTTTAGTATCATTATATTCTGAATGAAGATTGTACTGTGAAATAAAACGTAACTAATTAAGATGTTAGACTGGCGTATTCTGTTTTAAACGAGTGCAGATGGTGCTAGAACAATATATATTGCTTACCAGCTACATTCGTTAACAGAGAGTTTAAGAAAGTAAGCTTTATAGAATTGTAGTTTCTGTTGAAAAAATTATGGTACTACAATCCAAACAATTGTTAAAATTAGTGCTACGTAAATGGTTAATAAGGCGGACCAATTGCTTTCAGACGCAATATGAAATATTATGACTTGTAAGCTATGATAATCATTGTGAAAGATTGGGTTTTGTGAGTAGTAGAAGACAAATTAGATCATTGTTTTCTGTTAACAATATTTATATACGAATAAGTGTCCATCAATAAAAAGTATTTTTTGAGAATAATCTAAATCTACATTAATAATATTGTAATAGAAATTTTCTGAATTAAACAAAAAATTTAAAGGATGGATAGTTCTCTATTCGCCAAACACCCTGTAAATTTAAGTTATATTTGCAGCACACTTATTTTTAATCAGATGTGTGCATAGTCTACTTTACATAATGAAAATAAAATAAAATAGTACTTGTATAATACGTCATTTTCTCTGCATTCACCAGACCTGCGTTACTTTGATGATTATAATTATTGTTCTATTGAATTCTTAAAATTAAGTATTAGATAAAATTTGCTACTTCTAATTAGTAAGTTCTAATTACATGATGATTCCCAGCAAATAATTAAAGTAGCTCATCGCACCTGTAGTACCTATTTACGTAAAATCAGACTATCACATCTACAAACTTTACATATCTTTTTATAAGCAATCATCTCATTGATAAAATATTGTACAATATTGCCTAAAACAAACCTACTTTTTCTTGATATGATTAAAAAGCTCATGATTTACTTATTTATTTTGCAGTTACTTAATTTTATAATGAGAGTCAAGATAGAGTCGGCCACCCAGTCGCAACAGAGTGGTAAAAACAAGGGTAAAAATGGGAGCGCTGAGCTGCCCTAGCTGTGACAATGCGACTTTCTTGATTCTTTTTCAGCTTCCCTTTCAATGAAATTGAGAAAGTGCTCTGGCAGTGTGATGCAAAAATACATGAAGATAGCACACAAAGTTTTTCGCAATAAAAAATTCGATAATCAATCCGTTATGGCAAAAAATACCAATTTCTTGTATCTTGGCTTCAGGATGAGCTAGAGCATTCTTTTTTTTTTGAAATTTGTGTTTTTTTTTGACAAACCTAATGACGTCTGTTAGGAGAAAGTATGCAAAGTTAACTGAGATATTTGCAATTGTTTAAGTTGCAAATTACAACTTTTGCTGGAAAAACGTCAAAACTAATAAAAATCAATTATGTTTTCATTTCTTATCATTAATAATATTAAATACAATGTTTTTATCGTAGCCAAACGCCGATAAACCGATCCCAAAGTATGCAACATCGGCTGATGTCGAGTTGCGGCTCGAGTAAAAGTAAGCGTTTAATCAGTGTCGAGTTGCGGCTGGCCGATAAGCTTCGTTTTCTAATTTATGTTGAATTGCGGCTGGCCTTTTCTTATCTACTGTCGAATTTCGGTTACTATTATTATTTACGTATTTATCTATATTACATCGACATACAATAATATTGTCAGTCAGTTTTGCGTTAACTGAGCCAGCAAGAAGACGCATATATTCACCAGTCATCTATTAATTCTTTCTTTTCATTTAATTGTTGTTTTTTGAAAAATGGAGTTCCGTATCAGTAAGAAAGGAAATTTTTAAAGCAATTATTCATCGTGCATGGTCATCAAAATTATGTTTATGTCCCATTAGCCTTTTTTTTACTTCCTGACAAAAGTACTTCTTCGTACGAACAAGTTTTTAATATATTAATTGAATGAAGAATGTAAGAAACTAAATCAAATCGAATACCATATACGCAGATTTTGAGCCAGCAATTCACAGTCCTGTTAATAACAGTCTGCCAAATACAAACATCTGGGCCTGTAGGTTTCATTTGGGCCAAAGCTGGTGGCGAATAATCCAAAAGTTTGGTCTAAGCAAATTGTATAAAAACCATTCAGAAGAAGAATGTTCAATCAGAAGTGTACGTAAAAATGCGAAGTAGTGGGAAAAATCAAAGACAACGCAAGAAAAAGAAAATTTCTCAATACTTGAAATGTTACGATATCAACAAGGAGTAAGCACTCGATTTAATTTTATAAAAACTGTATCCAAAAAATTTTTACCTGTGTGATTGTATATATGCTGAAACGACCGATATGACCATGATTCACTTACTTGTTCATATTTTTCAAACACGTCAGTTTTAGAACTGCCAGTCCGAAGCCTGGGTAAAGTGTGACGAAAAAATGTCGTTATATATCAATTAGTAATGGGAACGTTACTCAGCCGCAATTCGACCGCAGATAAGAAAATGCCCATCCGCAATTCGACATACATTAGAAAACGAATCTTATCGCTCAGCCGCAATTCCACAACTTTTCTCTTTTGAGCCGTAATTCGACATTTGCGGCAATATCAATTAAAGTTTCATTTCAAATAACCAATCAACAAAAAGCTAACGATTATTTTGCAATTTCACAAATAACTATTTGTTGTGCAACTTAATATCTATATTCTTTTATGGTGATGTTCAAATTAACCCAATAGTTCATGTCGATCGACAGTTTTTCAGTATTAGAATGTGTTTCTTCTGCACTTTCTTGCCATTAACGTATTATTAACAATAAATAATGGATTAAGAAAAGTATCTTTTTTTATAGAAAATTTTATTACGAAGAGATTTGCGGTAAAAAAAATCTCTTGGAGCAATAAAAGCGGAGATACAAGTAAAAAACTAAAAAAAATTGACATTTTTTCTTAAATTCTTAAATAAATAAATATAGCCAACTTTTTATTTGGATAAAACTATTTTTCCCGTATTTCTTCGGCAGTTCTGAAGGAAAATGATAAACTTTGACTCTACTGGATAACAGAAAATTGAAAAATTCTTCGATCCATGGACTACCTATAAGTCAAAATAGGGGGTATGGCTAGCGTTTGAATTTCAATAAGTTATTCATTATTATACTGTTACAAATGTAGTATTAAACATTAAACATGCTTAATTGACAAATTAAATGCAAATGTGACTGTAGTAAGAAATATGTATTGATTCACATTTTTGTGTACATAAAATTTTAGCTTTCTTTGATACATTAAAATTTTCCTTTTTTTCCATAAACTACTTTCGCAACAACTAGGGGTAAGTGTACCTATCTCCGTGGCACGTACTGAAAATTCCAATTTAAATGCACCATAAAAAATGGTATACTAAAATTTTTTGGAATATTTTTTTTTTTAATCTTACATAATCTCTTACGGAATATTTAAAAAAATTTTATGAAGCTAAAACTGCAGTAGAATATTTTTAAAACGAATAAAAACGGTATGCTGGTATTACCGTGGTTGTGTACCTATTACCGTGTACGTATTACCGCGGATGTCCCAGTCACCGTGTCCGTATTACCGTGGGTGAAGGAAGTTGTATTTGCGGAATATAAAAAAAATGCAAATTTCACCTACATTTTCTACATGACTTATTTATTGTTTTAAAAAAATATTACTTTTTTTTGTACTTGCTTATTCATTTAGTAGGAATCTTATACATTTTTGAGCACTCAGCAATAGATTTTCCAGAATAGATACTTTTCAAAGCTAATTTTAATGTCTCTGGAGAGTAACACTTTTTTTTTCTTTATTTCGATCGATTTCTTGCCTTTCTTGCCTTTCTTGCCTTTTTTGCCTTTTTTAGTTTTCTTCATCTTGGTTACGTTAGATCGACGTGCTTACCTACTAATTGTTTACGTGTTAACTGTCGTGCGTTCTGTAAGTATAGGGTTATGTTTACGTACGCTCACCGCGGAAATACGTACACAATCAGTTAATGAGCGCGTTGTACCGAATACCGTGGAAAATAACTATTTACTCAAAATATACACAAATATTTCTGTTTGAATTGCATCTACATTAACGTCATTTTAGATTATTAAAATTAAAAAATTATTTTATATGAAACATTTCTTATTTTGAGCAAGTAATCATCAGTTTTTCAAAATCCACGGTAATAGGGCAGAGCACAGAGATAGGTACACTTACCCCTATCGTCTG